AGCCGAGATGGTACCATTCCACTCCAGCCTGGGTAACAGAGTGAGACTGACTCACAAAAAAAGGTGATAATTAATTCAAAAGTCTTTTTGTACAAATAGGGAGTTAGATGAATAGATCGATTGATAAAAAATAACTACATATTTTGTTTGTGTTTAGTTTAAATATATATGTTTCATTTGCCCGATACAACAGAAGCTGCAGAAACTAAAGTAAGGTGGGAGAATTTCTGAATTTCAGATAAATGCCTATGTGCAAGTAATACCTTTTCATTCAACATTCATTACAATTATGAAAAAGATAAATGTGTCATGATTCTCTTTAATCTGCAGTTTCTATCTTCACCCACAACTTCCCTTCCCTGGAATTCCCTGGCCTGGCCTGGTCTGACCTAGTCTTCCCTTCCCTGGAATTGCCTGGCCTGTCCTGTCCTGGCCTGGCCTCCTCATCCCTGGAATTGCCTGGCCTGGCCTTCCCTTCTCTGGAATAGCCTGGCCTGGCCTGGCCTTCCTTTCCCTGGAATTGCCTGGCCTGGCCTTCCCTTCTCTGGAATAGCCTGACCTGGCCTGGCCTTTTTTTGCCTGGAATAGCCTGGCCTGGCATTTCTTCCCTGGAATCGCCTGGCCTGGCCTGGTCTGGGCTGGCCTTCCCTGGAATTGACTTTTTATTTTTCAGATGGAGTCTCGGTCTGTCACCAGGCTGAAGTGAGGTGGCACAATCTCAGCTCACTGCAACCTCCGTGTCCCAGGATCAAGTGATTCTCCTGCCTAAGCCTCCTGAGTAGCTGGGACTACATGTGCCCGCCACAATGCTCAGCTAACTTTTATACTTTTAGTAGAGACGAAATTTTATCATGTTTGCCAGGATGGCCTCGATCTCCTGACCTCGTGATCCACCCGCCTTGGCCTCCCAAAGTGCTGGGATTACAGGCAGGAGCCACTGAGCCAGGCATTGCTCTTTAACTTTTATAATTTGATGTTTACTTCTGTTATTGTAATTCAGTCCAAAGAAAAATAGTGTGAGGAAAATAAAAATGACACCAAGAATGCTAATATTCTGTTCATCAAAGGTTGCAGGAAATATCCCACTACAGTCAGGCAGGGTGACTTACCTCTGTAATCCTAGCACTTGGGAGGCCAAGGCAGGTGAATCGCCTGAGGTCAGGAATTGGAGACCAGGCTGGCCAACATGGCAAAACCACATCTCTTGAAAAACACAAAAATTAGCCAGTTATGGTGGTGAGTGCTTGTAATCTTAGCTATAGAAATTTGAGGAGCTTTCATTTATTAAAGACAGTACAGAGAGTTCCCATATACCCCACACCCAGTTGCCCTATGATTAACATCTTAAACATTTGTAGGGTGCCTTGTCACCATTAGTGCACCAATAGTGATACATTATATTTTGATGCCTTTTTAAATACATTAACTTATTTGATCCTCAAAACAGCACTGTGTGGCCATAGCTATTAGTATCCTCACTTTACAGAGGAGGAAACTGAGGCACAGAGAATTGGAGTAACTTATCAAAGGTAGTTCAGCTAATGGAGGACCCAGGATATACCATCAAGCAGGCAATCTGGCCCCAGAGCCCTTGCTCTTAACCAATGGGCTATATCTCCTATAGGTCTGGGGGTTAAGTGTTATGGCACTGAGGGTAGTCAATGGGGCCTTCCTGGAAGAGGCATTTGAGCTGACTCCAGTACTGTCAGCTCTGTAGTTCGTGGCACTTTGAAGCCAGTGGAGCTGTGTCTGGGCCAGTTTCGGGTCCCTGCAGCCAACACAAGTTCTTTCACTTAGGGGAGCAAGAAATAGAGAGGGCTAGGCATACATGCAGGATGGCTGGACCTGCTGCAGGGCCCAGCAGAGTGAAGGTGAATCTGGGCAGAGGAGGCTGTGGGTGGAAGGGAAAGCCAGAGAGGATGCTGGGAAGGAGGAAAAGCTGGAGAGGGGCCTGGAGCATGGTTGGTGGCCGGGAAGGGCCTGGATGTACCTGAGAAAAGATGAAGTTTTTTTGTTTGTTTCTGCTTTTGCCGCTGTAAAATATTTCCAAATGTATGTTTGAGGGCTAAGAACTTTTAATTAATCCATTAGTATATTAATTTATTTTTTGAGATGGATTCTTGCTCTGTCATTCAGGCAGGAGTGCAGTGGTACAGTGTTGGATCACTGCAACCTCTGCCTCCCAGGTTCAAGCAATTCTCCTGCCTCAGCCTCCCTAATAGCTGGGATTACAGGTTCCTACCACCAAGCTGGGATAATTTTTGTAATTTTAGTAGAGACAGGGTTTCACCATATTGATCAGGCTGGTCTTGAACTTCTGACCTCAGGTGATCTGCTCACCTTGGCCTGCCAAAGTGATGGGATTACAGGTGTGAGACACTGCGTTTGGCCCTTTTTTTTTTTCTTGCTAGAGAAGGACTCTTTTTAAACACAAACTTAACATCATTACCACATCTAAAAAATTAACAATAATTTTTACTAACCTCACTACCTAGTCAGTATTCAAATGCCCAGACTTTCTCATGAATTTGTTTTTATTTTGTTTGCTTTGCAGTTACTTATATTTTCAAGATGGGGTCTTGCTCTGTTGCCCAGGCTGGGGTGCCATGGCAGCATCATAGCTCACTGTAGCCCTGAACTTCTGGGCTCAAGCCATCCTTCCACCTCAGCCTCCCTAGCAGCTGGGACTATAGGCGTGCACCACCATACCTGACTAATTTAATTTTTTTTTCGTAGAGATGAGGTCTCACTATGTTGACCAGGCTGGTCTAAATTCCTAGCTTCAAGCAATCCTCCCACCTCAGCCTTCTAAAGCTCTAAGATAACAGGCATGAACTGCCATACTCAGCCTGCAGTTATTGGGTTACTCACGTCAGGATGCAGATATGTAACTGGTTGCTTCTTTAAAAACCTCTATAGATACCTCCACCACCTTCCACCAGCTCACTGTCTCTCTCCCTCAGAATGTGTTTATTGAGGAAAGCTGGCCATTTGCCCTTTAGAGGCCTTCGTCATCCGGGTTTGCTCTTTGAATTTCTGTGGTGCAATTAACACATTCCTCTGTCTCCTGAGGGTAAATTGGCCTAGGGAAGGGCTTGAGAGGGGTCAGATTTGTTTATGGGGGGCTCCTTTACTGCATTGTAGAAAAAACTTGCAGGGGTGTCCAGGAGCTCTGGAGCCCTTGAGGAGGCTGGACAGTGGCCCTGGGGAGAGATCCAGGTTCGGCCTGGGCTGTGGGGACAGAAGGCAGTCAGGAAGGAGGAGGAGCTTAGAAGCCCAGATGGGTGTCTGCTTGGCTTTGGCGGAAGCCAGAGAGAGAAGGGAAAGGAGAAAGAGTCACAAATTCCACAAGCACCACAGAAAATAGACTTTCATTTTTATTTAGGGGACCACAGAAATTTTTTGTCCTAATTTTTGATCATAAAAACTTTCAAACATATAGAAAAGTTGAACAGTGCAATGATCACCACCACTAAGACCCAATAATTAACATTTTTCTGAATTTGCTTTATCTACGTATAGCTAAAGAAATACATATATGTTCTTTCTTTTTATCTTGTTAAAAGACAAAATCTCACTCCATCACCCAGGCTGGAGTGCAGTGGTGCATTCCTGGCTCGCTGCAACCTCTGCCTCCTGGGTTCAAGCCATTCTTGTGACTCAGCCTCCTAAGTAGCTGGAATTACCAGGGTGCGCCACCATGCCTGGCTAATTTTTTTTTCTTTATTTGGTATTTTTAAGTAGAATTTCACTATGTTGGCCAGGCTGGTCTCAAACATCTGAGCTCAAGTGATCTGCCTGCCTTGGCCTCCCTAAGTGCCAGGGTTGCAGACCTAATACATATATCTTCTCTCTCTCTCTGTCTCTCTCTCTCTCTCTCTCTGTCTCTCTCTCTCTCTCTCTCTCTGTCTCTCTCTCTCTCTCTCTGTCTCTCTCTCTCTGTCTGTCTCTCTGTCTCTCTCTCTCTCTCTCTCTCTCTCTCTCCCCCTCTCTCCCTCTATCTCTCCCTCTCCCTCTCTCTCTCTTCCTCTCTCACTCTTCCTCTCTCTCTCTGTTTTCCTCTCTCTCTCTGTCTGCTAAAGGATTTGAGAGTGAGTTGCAGACATTGTGATGCTTCATCCCTCACTACGTCACCATGGATCTCCTAAAAATGACCCCCAACCCTTGTGACCATTAGTATTGCTGAGAAAATGAAAATGAATCAGCAAATGTCTGGCAGATGTGAGCTCGTGGTATTTATTGAGCTCCTGCTGTGGGCCAGGCCTGGCACTTGGCTCAGACCCACTTTCTCTCACTTGACCCTCAGAACCACAGGCAGTAGCCATGCATTCTCTGTACTTTACACAGGAGGAGATGGACTCAGAGAGGCAAAGTGACTCACCCAAGTTCACACAGCTCTGTAGTGTGATGGCCAAGGTGGAGCTTGACTAGAACCTAGGCCTGTGTGGCTATGCCCACTGTGTTCATGGTAGCCCAGCCCCTTGACCAGCAGGCCCCTTGGAATGCACCTTTCCTAGGCTTGGCCAGAATACTGTGTCACTTGAGAATAAAGTCAACATGGCACTCTCCATGTTCTTAAACCCAGGCCCAGAGAAGTCAAAGGACCTGCTGCAGGTCACATGGCAATTGAATGGGGCCAGCCTTTAGTCTCCTGTCCCTGCTCCCCACAGTTCATCAGTCAGCACCCTCTGCCCCCACCACTAGGCACAACCCAAGGGAGGTGGCTTCCTTGGGGATTCATTTAGATGTGGGAATCATTCCAGATGGACAGGCAGCAGCTGAGAAGAAGGGCTGGTGCCATCAACAGAGTCAGTTTAGAAGCCTGGCTGTGCCACTTTTTAGCTTGGTGACCTTGGGCAAATGACAACCTCTCTGATGCTCAGTTTCTCCTAAACCCACCTGCCAAGCTTCTTCTGAGGCTCTAATGGGGTGGGCCTGGGGCTCCAACAGTGCTGGGCACCTCGCAGGCATGCTTTAAACGTTTGCCTTTCTCTTCCCGCCCTTTGTTTACAGAATCTTGCCCTCACTAGGCATTCAATACATGTAGAATGCAGGGATTCAGTCAGCGACCCTTTATGAGAGACCCACCCTGTGCCATGCGCTAGGCCTTGGAGAGTCAATGAGGAGCAAAACACATGGCCCTACCCCGGTAGAGCTTAAGGACTGTGGGAGACATGGCTCAGTCTGCCAGGACAGTGCTGCAGGGTGAGCCTCAGCAGGGCTTCTGTTGGTGGGTGGACCACTGCAGGACAGGGACGGCTTCCCTGAGGAGGGGACCACTGAGCCAAGAGCAGAAAGAAGGACAGGCATTAACTGGACAATGGGGAGCAGGGAACAGGAGAGCAAATGAGTATAATAGTGCTACTTCTCTCAGCCTCAGTTCCCCCATCTGTAAAATGGGATGCTGATACTATCTTGCTGGCTGGCTTTGAGAACTTGGTGATGTCGCAGATGTGAATATGTTCTGTTCTCCTGCCAGCTCCCCACAAAAGAGGCTCTGCAAGTATCTGAGGCCCCTGTTCCTCCCTCTGGCCCCTCTGGAAGGCTCACCTCCTACTTTCCTCTCCCCAGTGTTGGACAAGTGGTGAATATCAAGGCCAAGGTGAACTGGGCCTTCCACTCCAGAATGGAGGTGTGTGGGGTGGGCACTGCCTGGGCAGGGGTGTGTGGGTGGGTCCTCTACCTCCTCTCCCTGTTCTTCTCCCTGCAGCCCAGGCCCACTCACACTCACGGGGCCCTGATTAGAGCAGCAGAGTTCTGCGATGTTTGGCAGGGCAAGGGGAATCCCAAGGATCTTCCTTTCCTAAATCCCATAACACAGATGAAAAACTCCAGGCCAGAGGAGGGGAAGGGACTTGCCCCAGGTCACTGAGCTACATAGATTTCAGCATGGCACTTGACTTCCAGCCCTCTGAGTCTTCACATCCAGCCTCAGCAGCTAGGTGTATTTGGGAATGGAGGGAAGACAGCATCAGCACCTGATCTTGGAGGTGGAGCTGAAACAGTGAGAGTGCTGGGTTCTGGCCCCTGGGCTTACCTTCCACAGCCTTTCTCATCTGCAAAAGGGAACATGATTTCTATGTTGCAGGTTGTTGAGTTAATGGAAGGACTGCTGGTGATGCCCAGGGCTCTGTGAGCTGTGGGGGAGGATGCTATTTCCCACCTGTGGACTTCAGGCCCAGGCAACTTCACCAGCTGGGCCAGTGGTTCCTGAGGGATCACTGTGGCTGGGTGACACAGTCCTGGCTATGCCTTTGGGCACCCCATAAATGCTCAGGTGCCTGTTCTTGATTTTTTTTTTTTTTTGAGACCCAGTCTAGCTCTATTGGACAGGTTGGAGTGCAAAGGCACCATCTTGGCTCACTGCAACCTCTGTCTCCTGGGTTCAAGCAATTCTCCTACCTCAGCTTCCCCTGTAACTGGGATTACAGGTGCCCACCACCATGCCCAGCTAATTTTTGAATTTTTAGTAGAGATGGGGTTTTGCTGTATTGGCCAGGCTGGTCTTGAACTCCTGACTTTGTGATCCACCTGCCTCGGCCTCCCAAAGTGCTGGGATTAGGAGTGTGAGCCACCTCACCTGGCCTTGACTTTTTATTTTTATTAATTTTTTTTGAGACAAGGTCTCACTCTTTCACCCAAGCTGGCATGCAGAGTGGTGCCATCATAGCTCACTGTGACCTCAAACTCCTGGGCTTTAGCAATAATCCTGCCTCAGTCTCCTGAGTATCTGGGACTACAGGCATGCACCACCACACCCAGCTAATTTTTGTGGGTTTTTATTTTTTTTCCGAGACAGGGGTTTCACTGTGTTGCCCTGGCTTGTCCTGAACTCTTGGTCTCAAGTGATTCTCCTGCTGCAGCTTCCCAAAGTTTTAGGACTACAGACCATTGAGCCTGGCCTTTCCTTTACATTTAGCCAACATTCTACCTACATGAAGCCCTGTTGTAGACACAGCCTCATTTTAATCCTCTGAACAACCCTGCCAGGGTAGGTCTGATCACTCCCATTTTGAAGATGAGGAAACTGAGACCCAGAGAAGGGAAGTGACTTGCCCAGGGTTTTATGGGGACCCAAGGGCCGGGTCAAAAGCCAACTCAGATCTCTGGCCTGCCAGGCCTGGTAGGTGGCACAGAAACTCTGGAGGCCTGGGCCAGGACTTGCTGTTGGGTGGAGCTGTGGGGCTTCTCACTGGAGAGTGCAATGTCACCCCTTGTCCCTTCACCCTCACTGTTCCTCTCTAGGTGGCCATCCAGGTGGCCTCAGAGGACCCATGCTCTGAGAAGCAGTGGAATGCATGCAAGGCCTTGGCCACCTTCATGGCCCACCAAGAGATCACCAAGGTGAGCAGGTCTCCCTGGCTGCTCGATGCTGCTCTGTGACCTGAGCACCTGCCATGGCAACTCTGGATCAGGGTGATAAGGTTGGGGGTTAGCAGAGGGGATGGGAAGGGACACAGCAGGAATCCATAGCTCCCAGAGGAAAGCCCACTCCCCATTGCATTCAGAGCCTCCAGCTGCCTCCCCTCTCTTTCCCCCCACCTCTTTCTGTGCTTCTCCAGCAATGATTATTCTGGTCTCACCATTATGCTCGCCCTGCAGTGACACCCCCATCCTCTGAGTCTTTGCCCAAGGAAGGGACTTGGGTGGGAGCTGGAGGATGAATATGTGGTATCAAGTCATCATGGAGGCAGGAAGATGGGGCAAAGAGGGAGCAAGCCTTGGAACTGAGCCATGGTCCAGGCCTGCTGTGTGCCAGCCTTGGGCATGGGATGGAGCTGGGGACAGGCCCTTGTGCTACTTCAGGAGACTTGCTCTGAGTGTCTCCTACCCTGTCCCCTGGCCGACAGGTAAAGCTGAAGCAGATCACGCCGAGGACAGAGGAGGAGAAGATGGAGCACAGCATGGCGGCCAAGAACTGGTGCATGCGCCTTGTGTGTGTGGACACCATCAAGGACCTCCTGGCCAACTGCACCATTGAAAACTGAGCAGCTGCCAGTGTGCATGGGAGGGTAGCTGGGTCCTGCCTGGCTCCTCTGCCCCGGGACCCCAGTGGGCAGAGGCAGGAAGGGAGGCTCTGGGGACTTCCACCCACAGGTGTCCCTGGGCCCCTCCAGCTCTCTTGGTCCCAAGGTCTTCTACAGGGAGAGAGTGTTTGGGCCTCCCAGCTCCCAGGAACCATGAGGCTGCAGTTAGGTCCTGTGGAAATCCCTTTGTTGTCCACAAATGCATTTGAGTCTCTAGCAGCCAAGATGTTTGGGAAGACAGTATTGAGCAATGCCTTGAAGACTCTGTAGGAGTTTTTAAAGTGTATATGTATGTATGTGTGTATATATATACATATATATATATGTATATATATACACACACACACACACACAGTATTCATCTATAAGAAGCATATATAAAACCTGGTCTGGTGCGGTGGCTCTTGCCTGTAATCCCACCACTTTGGGAGGTTGAGGTGTACAGATCCAAGGTTAGGAGTTTGAGACCAGCCTGGCCAACATGATGAAACCCTGTCTCTACAAAGACAAAAATTAGCCAGGCGTGGTGACACATGCCTGTAGTCCCAGCTACGTGGGAGGCTGAAGCACGAGAGTTGTTTGAGCCTGGGAGATGGAGGTTGCAGTGAGCTGAGATCATGCCACTGCACTATAGCCTGGGTGACAGAGCAAGACTCTGTCTGAAAAAAAAAAAGAAGAATATTTAAAACATATGTGGCTGGGGCATGGTGGCTTATGCCTGTAATCTCAGCACTTTGGGAGGCCAAGGTGGTCAAGAGATCGAGACCATCCTGGCCAACATGGTGAAACCCCATCTCTACTAAAAAATATGAAAATTAGCTGGGCACGGTGGTGTGTGCCTGTAATCCCAGCTACTCAGGAGGCTGAAGCAGGAGAATTGCTTGAACCTGGGAGGCAAAGGTTGCAGTGAGCCGAGATTGTACCATTGCACTCCAGCCTGGTGACAGAGTAAAACTCCATCTCAAAAAAAAAAAAGTGTATGTAACATTGGGGTACAAAAAGATTATTTATGTTTTTTATAACTGCGTATAAATAGCGTTTCGGTATTTTACAAGAGAGAGAATATTGAGACGGTGTATATACTTTAAAACAAACTAGAAAACGGCATTGTATATTTTTTCTAACAGTATCCTCAGAGTAATTATGTTTTTAACAACTGGGTAAAATATAGTATTTATATTGTTTCTAACACTGTAAAAATAGAATTTTCGTATTTTACAAGAGAGAGAATATCTAGACTTTGTATATATTTTAAAACAGTGTAGAAAATGATATTGTATATTTTTTCTAACAGAGTATTTTCAAAGTAATTTTGTTTTTTACATTGGGGTACAAATAGAGTATTTGTATTTTTTGTAACCCTGTAAAAATATTATAAATTTAATCAAAACTGAAGAAATAATAAGCTTCATTGATATTTGTGCAGAAATATAATAAATGTGTAACCATTGTGCTGATTACGTTAAAAGCTCATTTTGCTTTTTCTTTCAAAATATTGGCCTTATGTCTTTGACACTTGAAATATAAATAACCCCAGCACTTTTTGGGGGCTGAGTCAGGCTGATCACCTGAGGCCAGTCGTTCAAGACTAGCCTTACCTTCATGAGGTAATCCTGCCTCTACTAAAAATATATAATTAGCCAGGCATGGTGGCACATACCTAAAATCCCAGCTACTTGGGGGGCTAAGGCAGGAGGATCACTTAAACCTGGGAGGCAGAGGTTTTGGGGAGCCAAGTTTGCACCATTGCCCTCTATTCTGGGCAAAAAGAGTGAAACACCATCTCAAAAGAAAATTAAAGAAAAGAAAAATAAAGAACTAAGAACTTAGAGATAATACAATGAAATTAGCTTATTGAATTTTACCTGTTTTAAAAATGTCAGCATTGCTTTGTAAATACATTGCTTGACGTTGCAGCATTTTCAACAGGTTAACTATACTTTTGCAGTCTTAAAATGTTTTAAATTTTCTTTCTGAGATTTTCCACAGTTTATTAGAAATTAACCATAAATGGAAAACAATAGAAATGTTTTGTTGTGGCCGGGCGCGGTGGCTCATGCCTATAATTCCGGCACTTTGGGAGGCTGAGGTGGGTGGATCACGATGTCAAAAGATCGAGACTATCCTGGTCAACAACGTAAAACCCCATCTCTACTAAAAATACAAAAATTAGCTAGGCATGGCGGCGTGCTCCTGTAGTCCCAGCTACACGGGAGGCTGAGGCAGGAGAATTGCTTAAACCCAGGAGGCAGAGCAATTTAAAAAAAAAATGTCTAGTGCATTAGACACTCTTTAAGACAAAGCTATCAGAGCTCTGCTTCCAAGGACAGGCTGGCAACATATTTCAGGAAGGATGTGATGATTCTAATGTAGCCTTTGAGCTATGAGAGCAATATAGCAGTTAAGACTCATGAACATTGTTCCCTTCCTGTCTCCCCCCCTAAGCCCCAGAAATGTTAGGGGACAAGAAAAAAAGAAAAGCCTCTGCTGCATATTTTCCAGGCACTAAACAGCATAAAAGGGCAGTATGATACTACAGACTTTGGCTAATAAAACAAACTGAAACAATTAAATGACTATTGAAAATAAACATTGTGGTTTCAAAGATTTGTTGATGATTTAGGGTGAAGATTTCATATTATGTACTGTCGTAATGTGGGATGATTCCCTTTCTTTTTGTTTATTTAATAAGTATTTGTTAAGTTCCTGCATCCACTAGGCACTATTTTCAGTGCTGGTGCTTCAGTGGTAGACAGAGCCCCTGCACTTATACCATTCTCACTTTTTGGGTCAGGATGCAGACAGCAAATCAGTAAACAGACACAAATACACGACACAATTTCAAATGTCAAGTGTTTAAAGCATTCCACCTGAGTTTTCTGAAGGAACGGGCAAATAACTTTCTGCTGGCTTAGATGTGTGCTGACCAGGACACAGATCTTACAAACTATAATTTGTAAGAAACTATGGTTACTCAGAAATATACAGGAATATTTATATTTTTTATACATACAATCAATAAGGGCCCTGGGCATTTGATTTTTATTTTATTTCAATGATAAAATGGGTCTAGTAATATTAGTTGTCATAGTTAGTAGTGCTGATTTAATGTTAGTGAATTAACTTCAGATTTAGTATAGGAAAAGTGTGGATTTATTGTTTGTAAATTAGAAGCACAGAATAAAACCTAATTAAATTACTTGTCCTGGTATAAGAATCAGCATATGCGAATTATTTTTGCATTTGCCAAATTATAACGAAGTTTTTAACAAAATGAGAGGTATTAAAGGCCCATGGCAATGGTTCTTAAACTTCACCATGTACTTAGAAATTACCCATGAACACTGATAAAAGGCAGATTGTAGGGCTCAGACATAGCACATTCTGATTCTTTTATGTGTTGACTATTGCCCAAGAATCTGGGTTTTCAAAAAGCATCCCGAGTGATTCTAATAAAGATGGTCCTGGAACCCCACGGAGACCCACTCTCCTGTTGGATTGTATCAGATATACATGAGTTAATTTTTTTCTTTTATTTTTCAGTGACACTCAAGCAACTGCAGGGAACAATTTTAAGTACTCTCCAACATAAGTATCTAGGAACCAGTAGTGGAATATATTTTACACAAAAGCAATAGAGTAGTTTTATGCCATAAGTCCAAAGGTCCTGGCTGCTGTCCTAGAATAATGTAGTATTGTTTAATTGATTAACAGGTGGATGCTAACCAAAAAAAGATAAATATGTCTAGAATTAGAGAAATACTGTACAGAATGATGTAGTCTAATGGTGCCTGGAATTTTCAAAATCATCAATCAGAGTAATAATTTTAAATGTGTCACAAAGTAATACCATAATGCAAATAAGTTATACATTCATTTGCTTAACTTTCATCCATAAAATCTTTATATAATTACTGCTTGCTCTTTTGAAATCGTTTCCTACTGTGTAGTTTGTAAAAGCTCAAAATAGATCAAAACTAGTTATTACCCTATTTACTTCTGTAAACACAAAACTCTGTTAAGGCTTTTAGGTGAAGTAAGCTTAAATATAGGCTATGTTCTGTCATGTATGACTAAAATAAAAATTCAGCCTAAGGAAACTCCTTTTGTAGACATTATTGAAACTACAAAAAGTACAAAAGTTAGCTGGGCATTGTGGTGCACAGAGACTGTCTCTCCATGCTGCCTACTCTAGGTTGCAGTATGTTCCCAACACACATCTTTAATGGTTTAAAATGGGATTTCAATTTTTCCTTCAGTTTGTATGCTCTGCAAGCTGTATGCTTCCTCTGCATGTTTCCAAAGTGAAGAGAATGAAAAAATTGTTTTTTCTAATACTGTATTAATAGAGAAATCTATATTTTTGGATTAATATTGTTTAATAAGAACCTAACTCAATAGGTTGCTCTCTAATTGATTACAATTCCCACTGGAACACTTCCCCAGGTTGACTGAAGGTCCAGGTTTTTTTCTTATTCTTCCTTCCATCCTCTATTCAGTTTTAGTTGAGAATCCACCAAACTAAGATTACATCGACCACTCAATTTTAGGCTGAAAGGGACTGCATTGATTAGTTCAACTGCCTCATTTTCAAAGAAACTAAAGCCCACTGACCGATTTACCAAAGTGGGTGTATTCTTCTTATCTGTGCTGTCCTATTGTTCAGGATCCCGGACTAGTCATAAAGCAAATGGTAGCTGATGGGAACTTCTGGAATGGGTTTAGGTGTAAGGAAGACAAAGGTCTAGTGGCAAAGTCAGCTCTGGAGGTAGGTTACTTGGATTCCAATCTACTTCGTTGTGTGTTCTTGGGCAAATTACATAACTTTTCTGTGCCTCAATTTATTTGAACGATGGTGTATAATAGTGTCTATCTCACAGCGTAATTGTGAGGATTATTGAGCTAGTCTACCAAAAGTATTAAAACATGTAGTTAAACTCCCAGTAAACACTATTTTTACCCAAATCACAAACTGCCAAACCCTTAAGTCTTGAGCTCCCGAGGGGAATTAGGAACCCTCCTGTGGCATTCCTCTTCTAAACGTCTGCTGAACAAAAGTTGACGTTGCATTTTCAAAGAGCCCAAATGGATTACTTTTATGAAGTTTGGGGCAAATGAATTACACATATATATAACCCTCCCTCAACACCCAGAAGGTATGCGGACATGCAGAATTCAAAAGTCTGAGGGTGACTGTGCTCAGGGGGTGAAGGGATGCTTAGAAACCACCTCTTTGAGGAGGAAGGCAGGACGTTCAATAAGAGCGGGTGGCTACCAAAGAACTAAATTTTAACGCAACAAAGGTGAGTCCATCTCCCCGCAACCACAGGCATCCAACCCAGGAACACCTCGCTCCGCCTGGACGGCTGAGGTGCAGCTGGAGGGGGACTGAAAGGGTCAGACCACGGGATTGTTTTCAACTTTGGGCTTTTACACAGCAGTTTTGAAGACAAAAGGGCTTTTCAGCTAGGTTTGGTTTACCGTTCCCCTCCTCCCAGGCCCAAGCTTGGTCCCCAATGTCCCCAGCAATGCTTTGGACGTCCCTCACTTTGCTGTTTTTTGGGGGGCCACTGCCCACCCGTAGGTTGCGTGCTGTCCCTCCTAGAGAGAGGTGGATGGCCATGACATTCCAGGGAGGAAAAAGGGAAGGGCGAAGGGGCAACGACACCCTTCTAAAGTTTCACCCCAGAAAGGCATCCCACTCTGCCCAGGAGGCGCCCTCAGGCTACAACCTTCCCGTGAGCCTCCTCCCTTTGCCCCGCCCCTCAGCACGGGGGAGGGGCGCTGTGCAGCCGGCGCTCTCTGATTGCCTGCCGCGTCAGGGTTCCAGCCGGGATTGTGCTGTGGGCAGCTGTCCGCGCCTGCGTGCACAACGTGGAGAACCAGCGTTGGGAGTTGCTGGAAGTTGGAGGCGAGGGAGCGGTCACTCGCAATGAGCGCGGGCGGCACTGGGCGCAAGGTGGAGAGCAGTCCCTAGTCTAAGCCTTTCCGTCGCCCTCCGGCACCGCCAGTACCACGGACTCCACCCTGCCGCGGCCCCTCGGCGATGCGGTGCAGCTGCCACTCGACCAAGTGGGTTCAGGTACCACGAGGCACCGAGGCGTCGGGCACGCACCCTCGCTGCCCTTTGTGGCCATGGTGCCACCAGACCGGGGGCCTGGGAGAGGGGTGGGGACTGCGGCCCGCCACTGCTGGAAGGGAGGGGAAGACAAGCCTGTCCCAGTGACCTCTCACTTCCGCTGGCCTCTTCTTTGCCTCCATGCCTCTGGGGCATGCGCCACAGACCCCCATCCATCGCCCAGGGCCGCGGTGATCCAGGCGTAGGTGCTGGCGACAGTCTCGGGGAGGGTCTTCATGTAGACTTGAGGGTGTGCGTGCTGGTCCCTGCCCTCTGCCGCAGTGGGGCTGGGACTCAGCTGTTGGGTCCCTTTGGGTGCACAGGCTGGGATGTAGACGGAGCAGAAGTCTGTGCTCCGGAGAGGCTGGCGTGGTAGTGCCTGCCTGGCAGGTGGCTCTGAACGACCCCCGGAAAGGCTGAGGCGTGGGTCTAGGCGTGAACGGTGCATTAGAGATGGTGTCGATGAGTGCGAGGGGCACAGAGAAGCTTAAGTGCTACTGCACTTTGGGGACAGTTTTCATTGAAGTGTGGTTTAAGGGAGACAGAGGCAACAGTTTCGGGGAAGGCCGAGATTATGAAGAAAAGTGAG